GGGAAAAAAGACCACATACAGGCAGGTTTCCCGAGTCACAGAGGGGAGGCAATGGGGAGGAAAGGCAAAAAACAGTGTTTTATCAAAGGGCCTTTAGGAAGGAGGAAAGGACACACACTGAAAAAGGGAAGCGGAAGAAAAAAAGGAATTGAGAAAATTTTCACGGGAAAAAGGTGAAAAGATGGGCGAAAATTGTAAATTTTTTAGAGAATAAAGGGGGGTACTTTGAAGGGGAAAACCGACCAATCCAAACGATTTTCCGGACGGAAAAAAGTGGGAAAAGGATCCTCCAAAAGAAAAACCCCGAATTTAAAAACTCGGAAAAATACAAGAGGGGTTTCCCCGAAAAGAGACAGAAACCCCAATCAGAAAAAAACAAAAGCTGAGGGAAGGACAAAAAAAGCAAAAAACTAGGAAAAAACAAGGATGGAAACCCCAGAGGTCAGTCAGAGCAGAACAGAACAACAAGGGGAAGCACACACACAAAACTATTCTCAGAACCTACAACCTATCACACCCATCCCAACACACACTACAATCCATACCCACAGCCTCCACCCAACACCGAGCTATAGAATCCCACAGTATGCTACCAGGTCTCCCACCCTCACAGGCCCCCCAAACCACAGTGTTGGAAAGGAAACTGAAGGTATGGTACACAAACGCTGATGGAATAACAAATAAGTTGGAGGAGTGGCATGAAAGAGTCAAAGCGCATCACGGACATCATAGCTCTCACAGAAACCAAGCTTACAGGTATGATAACAGATGCCATCTTTCCAACGGGATACCAAATCCTGAGGAAAGACAGAGGGAACAGGGGGGTGGAGGAGTGGCATTGCTGATCAAAATCGCTGGAATTTTGATGAGCTGGAGAGAGGAGACAGCGGAGAAGAAAGTGATTAAAATAGCGGGAACGCTTCACTCTGGAGGTCCCAAGGTGGTAATAGCAGTGATGTATAACCCACCACAGAACAGCAGGAGGCCAAGGCAAGAGTACGACGAGAGCAATAGAGCGATGGTTGACACACTGGCTAGAGTGGCCAGAAGAGCTCATGCATGCAGGGCAAAGCTCCTGATCATGGGTGACTTTAACCACAAGGAGATCGATCGGGAGAACTTGGACCCGCATGGGGGCCAAGATACATGGAGGGCTAAGATGATGGAGGTGGTACTGGAAAACTTCATGTACCAACACGTAAGGGACACTACAAGAGAGAGAGGAGAGGATGAACCAGCAAGCTGGACTTAGTATTCACCTTGAGTAGTGCAGATATCGAGGACATCACATATGAAAGCCCCATTGGGGCAGTGACCATGTGGTTTTAAGCTTCGAATACAAAGTAGAGGTACAAATGGAGGGAGAAGCAGGAAGGCCAGGACGAAAAGAAGCCAAACTACAAGAAAGGGAACTACACAGGGAAAGAGGAACTTCCTGAACAGGGTTCAGTGGGACAGAGAACTGGCAGGGAAGCCAGTTAATGAGATGATGGAATATGTAGCAACAAAATGCAAGGAGGCTGAGGAGAGGTTTGTACCCAAGGGTAACAGGAATAATGAAAAAGCCAGGATGAGCCCATGGTTTTACCCAAAGGTGCAGGGAGGCAAAAACCAAGTGTGTTAGGGAGTGGAAGAAATATAGAAGGCAAAGGACCCAGGAGAATAAGGAGAGCAGTCGTAGAGCCAGAAACGAATATGCACAGATAAGAAGGGAGGCCCAAAAACAATATGAAAATGACATAGCAGCAAAAGCCAAATCTGACCCGAAACTGTTGTACAGCCACATCAGGAGGAAAACAAGTCAAGGACCAGGTAATCAGGCTAAGGAAGGACGGAGGAGAGACAACAAGAAATGACCGTGAAGTATGTGAGGAACTCAACAAGAGATTCAAAGAAGTGTTCACAGAGGAGACAGAAGGGGCTCCAGAAAGACGAGAGGTGGGGCACCCACCATGTGCTGGACACAGTGCACACAACCGAGGAAGAAGTGAAGAGGCTTCTGAGTGAGCTAGATACCTCAAAGGCAATGGGGCCAGATAACATCGCCCCATGGGTATTGAGAGAGGGAGCAGAGGTGCTATGTGTACCCCTAACAACAATATTCAATACATCTATCGAAACAGGGAGATTGCCTGAGGCATAGAAGACAGCAAATGTAGTCCCAATCTTTAAAAAAGGAGACAGATATGAAGCATTAAACTACAGACCAGTGTCACTGACATGTACAGTATGCAAAATCATGGAGAAGATTATCAGGAGAAGAGTGGTGGAACACCTAGAAAGGAACGATCTCATCAACAGCAGACAACATGGTTTCAGGGACGGGAAATCCTGTGTCACAAACCTACTGGAGTTCTATGACATGGGACAGCAGTAAGACAAGAGAGGATGGGTGGGTGGATTGCATATTCTTGGACTGCAAGAAGGCGTTTGACACAGTTCCACACAAGAGATTGGTGCAAAAAATGGAGGACCAAGCAGGAATAACAGGGAAGGCACTACAATGGATCAGGGAATACTTGTCAGGAAGACAGCAGCGAGTCATGGTACGTGGCGAGGTGTCAGAGTGGGCACCTGTGACCAGCGGGGTCCCGCAGGGGTCAGTCCTAGGACCAGTGCTGTTTCTTGGTATTTGTGAACGACATGACGGAAGGAATAGACTCTGAGGTGTCCCTGTTTGCAGATGACGTGAAGCTGATGAGAAGAATTCACTCGATCGAAGACCAGGCAGAACTACAAAGGGATCTGGACAGGCTGCAGACCTGGTCCAGCAATTGGCTCCTGGAGTTCAATCCCACCAAGTGCAAAGTCATGAAGATTGGGGAAGGGCAAAGAAGCCGCAGAGGAGTACAGCTAGGGGGCCAGAGACTACAAACCTCACTCAAGGAAAAAGATCTTGGGTTGAGTATAACACCAGGCACATCTCCTGAAGCGCACATCAACCAAATAACTGCTGCAGCATATGGGCGCCTAGCAAACCTCAGAACAGCATTCCGACATCTTAATAAGGAGTCATTCAGGACCCTGTACACCATGTACGTTAGGCCCATATTGGAGTATGCGGCACCAGTTTGGAACCCACACCTAGCCAAGCACGTAAAGAAACTAGAGAAAGTGCAAAGGTTTGCAACAAGACTAGTCCCAGAGCTAAGAGGTATGTCCTACGAGGAGAGGTTAAGGGAAATCAACCTGACGACACTGGAGGACAGGAGAGATAGGGGGACATGATAACGACATACAAAATACTGAGAGGAATTGACAAGGTGGACAAAGACAGGATGTTCCAGAGATTGGACACAGTAACAAGTGGACACAGTTGGAAGTTGAAGACACAGATGAATCACAGGGATGTTAGGAAGTATTTCTTCAGCCACAGAGTAGTCAGTAAGTGGAATAGTTTGGGAAGCGATGTAGTGGAGGCAGGATCCATACATAGCTTTAAGCAGAGGTATGATAAAGCTCACGGCTCAGGGAGAGTGACCTAGTAGCGATCAGTGAAGAGGCGGGGCCAGGAGCTCGGATCGACCCCCGCAACCTCAACTAGGTGAGTACAACTAGGTGAGTACACACACAAACACACATACACACAATCTTTCCAGTTGGCCGCTGAGTCACTTAGGGAGACACTCGTTGAGAGAGATATTATCAACACTGGTGTGAGAGATTGTTTGTCTCACCGATGTGCTGTAAAGGAGACACTCCCTCCCTCTCTCCTTCCTTCCCTCCCTCCCTCCATCGATACCTTCCTTTTTGGATAGGTGTCTCTCTCTCTGTCTGGCTAGCTGCCTGTCTCTGTCTGGCTCGCTCTCTGTCTCTCTGTATAACTGGTTGTCTGTCTGACTATCTCTGTCTCTTGCTTGGCTGCACTGATGGTCAGCTGAGTCTTCCATGACCTTGCCTGTCCCTCACACACTTCCTTATCACCATCCCTCACCTTTTTGGGACTTATGATGGAACTTGTCTGACCTTTCTTAACCCCCAGACCTCCAACACTCCAGTACCTCAACAACAGAACACCCAACACCCCAGCACCCAATACCTCAGCATCTAGTACCCCAGCACCAAACACCCCAGCACCCAATACCTCAGCATCTAGTTCCCCAGCACCCATGACCCCAGCTCCCAATACCTCAGCATCTAGTACCCCAGCACCCAAGACCCCAGCACCCAATACCTCAGCATCTACTACCCCAGTACCAAACCACCCCCCCTCACCCAATACACTCACATCTAGTACCCCAGCACCCAACACCCCAGCACCCAAATACCTCAGCATCTAGTACCCCAGCACCCATGACCCCAGCTCCCAATACCTCAGCATCTAGTACCCCAGCACCCAAGACCCCAGCACCCAATACCTCAGCATCTAGTACCCCAGTACCCAACACCCCAGCACCCAATACCTCAGCATCTAGTACCACAGCACCCAACACCCCCTCACCCAATACCTCAGCATCTAGTACACCAGCACCCAACACCCCAGTACCCAATACCTCAGCATCTAGTACCCCAGCACCCAACACCCTAGCACCCAATACCTCAGCATCTAGTTCCCCAGCACCCAACACCCCAGCACCCAATACCTCAGCATCTAGTACCCCAGCACCCAACACCCCAGCACCCAATACCTCAGCATCTAGTTCCCCAGCACCCAACACCCCAGCACCCAATACCTCAGCATCTAGTACCCCAGCACCCAACACCCTAGCACCCAATACCTCAGCATCTAGTTCCCCAGCACCCATGACCCCAGCACCCAATACCTCAGCATCTATACCCCAGCACCCAAGACCCCAGCACCCAATACCTCAGCATCTAGCACCCCAGCACCCAACACCCCAGCGCCCAATACCTCAGCATCTAGTACCCCAACACCCAACACCCCAGCACCCAATACCTCAGCATCTAGTACCCCAGCACCCAACACCCCAGCACCCAATACCTCAGCATCTAGTACCCCAGCACCCAACACCCCAACACCTCAGCATCTAGTTGTTAACATGACTCAAGAAATCGTAATGACACGATTGCAAATAAACCATACCCCCGGCCGGGATTGAACCCGCGGTCATAGAGTCTCAAAACTCCAGCCCTTTGCGTTAGCCACTAGACCAGCTAGCCACAATAAGATTCATCCAACTAGGTATATTTCTACACCATAGGAAAGTTAGCACAGGCACCTCTGTGACCACAAATGCAAGTTTTTACAGACGAATCTCCAGCTAGCGTGGCCGTGACGAACTCTAGCTCAAGTCCCTTCACTGCCGTCAACATGACTTGAGCTAGAGTTCGTCACGGCCACGCTAGCTGGAGATTCGTCTGTAAAAACTTGCATTTGTGGTCACAGAGGTGCCTGTGCTTACTTTCCTATGGTGTAGAAATATACCTAGTTGGATGAATCTTATTGTGGCTAGCTGGTCTAGTGGCTAACGCGACGGGCTGGAGTTTTGAGACTCTATGACCGCGGGTTCAATCCCGGCCGGGGGTATGGTTCTAGTTGTTAGGTAAGACACATATGCAACAGTTAGGTATCTTGATTTCGAAACGTTTCGCCTACACAGTAGGCTTCTTCAGTCGAGTACAGAAAAGTTGATAGAAGCAGAAGATACTTGAAGACGATGTAATCAGTCCATCACCCTTAAAGTTTTGAGGTGGTCAGTCCCTCAGTCTGGAGAAGAGCATTGTTCCATAGTATGGAACAATATATTGTTTCAGACTATGGAACAATGCTCTTCTCCAGACTGAGGGACTGACCACCTCAAAACTTTAAGGGTAATGGACTGATTACATCGTCTTCAAGTATCTTCTGCTTCTATCAACTTTTCTGTACTCGACTGAAGAAGCCTACTGTGTAGGCGAAACGTTTCGAAATAAAGATACCTAACTGTTGCATATGTGTCTTACCTAACAACCTGTCGGTATTTTATACCATTTTAATGTTCAACCTCTGCATCTAGTACCCCAGCACACAACATCCCAGCACCCAATACCCCAGCATCTAGTACCCCAGCACCCAAGACCCCAGTAATACCTCAGCATTTAGTACCCCAGCACACAACATCCCAGCACCCAATACCTCAGTATCTAGTACCACAGCACCCAAGACCCCAGCACCCAGTACCTCAGCATCTAGTACCCCAGCACACAACATCCCAGCACCCAATACCCCAGCATCTAGTACCCTAGCACCCAAGACCCCAGTAATACCTCAGCATTTAGTACCCCAGCACACAACATCCCAGCACCCAATACCTCAGTATCTAGTACCACAGCACCCAAGACCCCAGCACCCAGTACCTCAGCATCTAGTGCCCCAGCACACAACATCCCAGCACCCAATACCCCAGCATCTAGTACCCTAGCACCCAAGACCCCAGCACCCAATACCTCACCATCTAATACCCCAGCACACAACATCCCAGCACCAATACCCCAGCATCTAGTACCCTAGCACCCAAGACCCCCAGCACCCAATACCTCAGCATCTAGTACCCCAGCACCCAAGACCCCACCACCCAATACCTCAGCATCTAGTACCCCAGCACACAACATCCCAGCACTCAATACCCCAGCATCTAGTACCCCAGCACCCAACACCCCAGCACCCAATACCTCACCATCTAGTACCCCAGCACACAACATCCCAGCACCCAATACCCCAGCATCTAGTACCCTAGCACCCAAGACCCCAGCACCCAATACCTCAGCATCTAGTACCCCAGCACCCAAGACCCCACCACCCAATACCTCAGCATCTAGTACCTCAGCACACAACATCCCAGCACTCAATACCCCAGCATCTAGTACCCCAGCACCCAACACCCCCTCACCCAATACCTCACCATCTAGTACCCCAGCACACAACATCCCAGCACCCAATACCCCAGCATATAGTACCCTAGCGCCCAAGACCCCAGCACCCAATACTTCAGCATCTAGTACATCAGCACACAACATCCCAGCACCAATATCCCAGCATCTAGTACCCCAGCTCCCAATACCCCAGCATGTAGTACCGCAGCATCCTGTACCTCAGTAATCAACAGCCCAGCACCCAAGACCACAACACCCAATACCTCAGCATCTAGTACCCCAGCACCCAACACTCCAGCACGGAATACCCCAGCATCCAGTACCCCAGCACCCAACGCCCCAGCACCCAACACCCTAGAACACAGCACGCTAGCCTACGCCCTTCCCACTCCTTAATAAAGTGACCTTGAAGCTATGAATACCATGCTCTCCTCTCTCTCTCTCTCCCTCTCTGAATACTCATTTGCCTATACATACTCCTGATATATATATATATATATTATATAATAATTATATATATATATATATATATATATATATATAATATATATAGAGGAGAGAGAGAGAGAGAGAGAGAGAGAGAGAGAGAGAGAGAGAGTAAACAATAACATAATAAATATAATAATGTCATTTTATTATACAAGTACATGTACATGGATACAAGACCCAGCTGACATCAATGACATACTACTACATAGAAAGCCCCTTGTTATGCTAAGCATTTCGGGCAATGTAGGTCAGTGTCCCAGGATGCGACCCACACCAGTCGACTAACACCTAGGTACCCATTTTACTGATGGGGAAACATAGACAACAGGTGGAAAGAAAATATGCCCAATGTTTCTACTCTGGCTGGGAATCGAACCCAGGCCCTCGCCGTGTCTACCGAGAGCTTTAGCCACCAGGCCACCAGAGAAATAGATAGATAGAAAAGAGATAGATGGAAAAGAGATAGATAGATAGATAGATGGGATAGAGAGAGAGAGAGAGAGAGAGAGAGAGAGAGAGAGAGAGAGAAGAGAGAGAAGAGAGAGAGAGAGAAGAGAGAGAGGGTCGAGAGAGAGAGGAGAGAGAGAGAGAGAGAGAGAGAGGAGAGAGAGAGAGAGAGAGAGAGAGAGAGAGAGAGAGAGAGAGAGAGAGAGAGAGAGAGAGAGAGAATAGAAAGGTTGAATTGAATAATTGAGAGCTTGTTGACGAGTCAGAAGTTGAGAGAGGATGCTGGAAGAGGAAGCAGGTGTGGGGAGGGAAGATGCTGGGGAGAGGAAGCAGGTGTGGGGGGGGAGGATGCTGAGGAAAGAAAGCAGGTGTGAGGAGGGAGGAAGCTGGGGAGAGGAAGCAGGTGTAGGGAGGGAGGATGCTGGGAAGAGGAAGCAGATGTGAGGAGGTTACCTGGAGGTTACCTGGAGGTTATTCCGGGGATCAACGCCCCCGCGGCCCGGTCCACGACCAGGCCTCCCGATGGATCAGGGCCTGATCAACTAGGCTGTTACTGCTGGCCGCACGCAGTCCAACGTACGAGCCACAGCCCGGCTGATCCGGCACTGACTTTAGGTATCTCTCCAGCTCTCTCTTGAAGGCAGCCAGGGGTTTATTGGCAATTCCCCTAATGCTTGATGGGAGGCTGTTAAACAGTTTTGGGACCCGGACACTTATGGTGTTTTCCCTTAGTGTACCAATGGCGCCCCTACTTTTTATTGGGGGCATTTTGCATCGCCTGCCCAGTCTTTTACTTTCGTAGGGAGTGATTTCTGTGTGCAGATTTGGGACCATTCCTTCCAAGATTTTCGAAGTGTAGATTATGATATATCTCTCCCTCCTGCGTTCCAACGAGTACAATCCAAGTGCTTCCAAGCGTTCCCAGTAGTTAAGGTGCTTGACAGAACTTATACGTGCAGTAAAGGATCTCTGTACACTCTCTAGATCTGCGATTTCACCTGCTTTGAATGGAGATGTTAATGTACAGCAGTATTCCAGCCTAGCGGAGGGAGGATGCTGGGGATAGGAAGCAGGTGTGGGGAGGGAGGATGCTGGGAAGAGGAAGCAGGTGTGGGGAGGGAGGATGCTGGGGATAGGAAGCAGGGGTGAGGAGGGAGGATGCTGGGGAGAGGAAGCAGATGTGGGGAGGGAGGATGTTGGGGAGAGGAAGCAGGTGTAGGGAGGGAGGATGCTGGGAAGAGGAAGCAGGTGTGAGGAGGGAGGATGCGGGGATAGGAAGCAGGTGTGGGGAGGGAGGATGCTGGGGAGAGGAAGCAGGTGTGAGGAGGAAGGATGCTGGGGAGAGGAAGCAGACGTGGGGAAGAAGGATGCTGGGGAGAGGAAGCAGGTGTGGGAGGGAGGATGCTGAGAAGAGGAAGCAGGTGTGGGGAGAGAGGATGCTGAGGAGAGGAAGCAGGTGTGAGGAGGAAGGATGCTGGGGAGAGGAAGCAGGTGTGGGGAGGGAGGATGCTGGAGAGAGGAAGCAGGTGTGGGGAAGAAGGATGCTGGGGAGAGGAAGCAGGTGTGGGGAGGGAGGATGCTGGAGAGAGGAAGCAGGTGTGGGGAAGAAGGATGCTTGGGAGAGGAAGCAGGTGTGGGGAGGGAGGATGCTGGGGAGAGGAAGCAGGTGTGGGGAAGAAGGATGCTGGGGAGGGGAAACAAGTGTCGAGAGAGAGGATGCTGGGGAGAGGAAGCGAAAATCCTTCCCAAATTTGCCTCCCCTTAACTTCTGTATCACACCGTCCCTTCCCCTCCCACTCTCTCCCTCTTCCCCCTCCCTCCTCCCTCCCACCTAAGTTCCTCACTCCTCCTCCACAGTGTTTACACCAGCAGGTCAGACTTTCTCTCACTTTCATTACTTTTGTATTCACTTTGCTTGCTACATCCTTTATATTATTTCTCTCTCTCTCTCTCTCTCTCTCTCTCTCTCTCTCTCTCTCCTCTCTCTCTCTCTCTCTCTTCTCTCCTCTCTCTCTCTCTCTCTCTCTCTCTCTCTCTCTCTCTCTCACTTATCTCAAGACACTCGGAATATTAAGTCAGCTTTTCCGCCCTGCTCACTCGCTTCCTTCCTCCTGCCTCCCGTTCCCCCTTCTCCCTCCCCTCTCATCCTTCTCCCTTCCCTCCCCTCTCCCACTTCTCCCCTCCCCTCTCCTATCCCCCCCTCTCACCTCTCAGATGAGGTGCTGAATAATTGATCTTCCTGCTGATGAATGATGAAAAGACACCCCCCTCCCCTACCCCCTAGTGACCTGGCTGACTCCTGCAACCCAAAAACCTGGTTAATCTGCAGCTCACCTGGGACCTGGCTGACCTGTTTCTATGTTAGAGACAACCAGGGCTGACGTGACCGTCCTCTCTTATTAGAAGTCTCCAACGGAACCTGTTAAATATTTTGCACTCTGGCAGGATTGTCGGTCTTTCCTCCACGACCCGTGACACTGGTGCAGGTCACCATGTCACACCAGGTCTGCCGAGGGAGGGGGCAGGTGACACTCATGCATTTCAAGATTTTGAGATTTTTGCCCCGTGATGCGACTGTCCTGCAACTGTGCAACACAACCACAACAGTACATTACAACCGCAACAGTGTAACATAACCACAACAGTACATTACAACCGCAGCAGTGTAACATAACCACAACAGTACATTACATCCACAACAGTGCAACACAACCACAACAGTACATTACAACCGCAGCAGTGTAACACAACCACAACAGTACATTACAACTGCAACAGTGCATCACAACCACTGTCCCATGGGTTCGGTAACGTGGATTGGGTAAAGGATACTCACATAGGCAATAATGGAGTATAATTAAAACGGAATATATGGGAAGCGCCCAGCCTGACCTACGTCTCAGCTCCCTATCTTTAGACTACCTCACGAATGATGCCTAGGGTGAGCGACATTCAAAAACATGCTAAGGTCAGTTGCAACAGTGAACAACAAGTGATTCACACAGACGGTTGGTAGTGAGTCACTACTACTGACACTGGTAACTGGTTACTGGTATTGGTACTACTGAGAGCTCAGCAACACTAACGTATGTTGTCTCGACATACAACTAATACAAACTAGAGATGACAGGCTTATGGCTTGGGCTGATTCTATACAGTGTCAAAGTACACAACAATTAAACATTATAACATACATAAGGAGAATATTGGAATGAAAGCTAACGTAGCTTATTGTAATGCATTACAAGGTATCTTATAGCACAACTCATAAAATGAGATTCAGCACTGGGATTACACAATAGAAGTGATAAAAAAAATTTGATTGATCAATCTGTATTCATGTTATCTATGGATTCTGAGGAATGATATGTACAAAGAAAGAAGTGTTTAAAAGAAAGGAGACTTGGGTGCAACTCAAATCTAGACTGTTAATTCCATAAGTCAAGAGAATGGAACACACAAAAAATTCTTTAATTTAATAAGTTGTATGTAATTATTCATCTATACGGGTTTTTTACGTTTAACTCCAACTTGCTAGGGGAATTTACAATGCAGAATGGGTTATCTCTGGGGGATCAAACTCTGTTGCACTGGCTAAATCATACCCTGTTTGGCGCTCGAATGGATTCCAAATGTCCCTTTAGGCCTTCTCTAGTTACCTGTCATGTAACGTAGGGGAAACGACACCCAGGGATAACATCTGACGATTCCGACAGTATCAGTCCCGATTTTCAAAGTCTGTCACAGTCTATTTGGAACCATCTTTAGGAAAAAATTCTACTCCAAATTCCATATGATTCTAATCTTCCTAATACTCCTTTACTAATTTCTGTAAACGCTATTACTAATTGCCATTGACAAATTCAGCTATTCATAAGGATCTACCCCTCCAAAAACCTTTTGAAAAAAGCTTAAATTACAGGCTGAATGTCACCATAATTGAACCACTGTAATTTTGATATTTTGCTTTGAGTGTGGCTACTATTAAATTCGCTTATTGATTCATAATTTTCACGGATTGTTCTATGGGTCCTTTGTTCGAAGCTAGGACCACCTGCTTTAAAAATTTTAGGTTATAATTTCCATTTTCGTTAAAACTCGGCAAACCGTTTATCGTATATTGACAATGATAAAAGAGTGTCTCAAGCTCTTAACATTGTAGAAACCTTTGGCACAGCTAAGGCGGATTTCAGCCAGGTTTTCACTGTTAGGATTGATAGGCCTCTCAGAAACACGAAACTTTCTTATTGTTTTTATCGTCTGCTAACCCAATTTACTCGGACTGGCATG